ATTTTGTTTTCAGCCTCTAAAGCAGATGATACACGGAGCAATTTTTAGGGCCCCGCCACCCGCACCACCGTTATTCGTTCAAAACATTGTCGGACTTGCCACCAGCAAGATTGCCCAGCAAGATTGCCCAGCAAAATTGCTCAAAAAGTTGCCCCGCGTATCATCAGCTTAAGTTAGATACAATGTAGTACCGGAGGTGAATGTGAGGTGGTGTTTTTTTAAATCACAGAAGTTTAGATTGAGATACTAAATCAGAAGGCACTAGAACTAGGACTTGGACTTGAAAAAACAAACATAAAACATATTGACACAATACACAATTGTTTAGGTTTTGATTAAGGTTTTGATCATTTTACCTACATTGTCGAAATGCAATCCGATTTTTTTTTTTTTTATTTATTTTTTTAAACAGCCTCAACCTGGGAATATACACTGATGTGTATTATGTGTACTGTGTACTATGGGAGGCAATTCTCTTTAAGACCAAAAATCATGATTTATTAAAAGACTGTATAAAACAGGGATGTAGTCTTGGTGACGTCATCCATTCATGTTTATATCTGCTGTAAAGTTTTAACATGGGGGCCTATGGGAACTGATTCACTAGCCTCAAGTGCCCATTCGAGGAACTGCAGTTATTGGCACTTCACATTGGCTTAATTTTTCAGTCCCAGAGGTAGAAGCTTGGTTTAACACAATAGATAACGACTCTCGATACGTGTGAATAACGTGGTTTACACTGTGAGTCCTAATCTATAGTTTTTGACCCAGATCTAAACACTCTGACTGAAGACTTCCCGAGAGATCATCATTGTTCATTTACTCTAGCGAGCTGTTGGGCTGCTGGTCAGCTGCCTGCTCTGCTTAAAGGCTGACAAACTAAATGATTGATTGGCTGCTCCCTTATTGACTGGCAGATTGACACCCGTGGGTTGGTAGTTAGAGCTGAACTGTTGGTGAGAGACTAGTATGATGATCCTGCTGTTTGGACTTCTAACTTGCTGACTGACTCCTGGTCCATCTACAGTTCAAGGGTCAGATTGTCTCATATGTAGTACCCTAATTTGACCACTAGAGTGTACCAGACTGCATCTTTCTTCCTTGCTTCAGATACTCCTCCAGCACTTTAGGACACACTGTATATCCTTTCATACAAATTAATTCATGTTTTAACTGAAGAAGTAAACATTTAAATTAATGTTTTGATCACTAAACTGTAAACATTTCTGTGTAAATACTGTATACTGTTAAGTCTCATTCACTTGAGAGGTATTGCAACCTGAGACCACACACACACAGACATATACACACACAGAGCATTATTGTTTCTTAAAGCTCTCTCAGGAGGGTAGAGAGACTTGATTTTTTCCAAGTCAAACACAGAGTGGGAATGAAAGAGAAAGAGCAAAAGAGGGAGAGTCTTTTAGAGAAGGCTGAGTCAAAGAAGTGTTGTGTTCATTCTGAACCAAAAAGATCATCAGGGAATAGACTATTCTGTCTGTCTGTCACAATCAATTTCTTATAAAAGCATATTGAGAATATGGTGAATTATACTGCATCTAGACATAAACTTGTAATGTGAAATAAACAAAACTCTTGCAGATACATTTCTATTCATACCTCATCACTCATAGTAAGACGAGATGAGGTTTTCAGGGCCTTTAACACTCACAATAAAGACCTTTTCCTTAAAGCTAGGTGTAGGCAATTTATTTCAGAAGCATTTTTGTTATATTTGTTGAAACTGTCTTGGCACCAATCAATAAATCAAAAGCGCTGACACAAAAAACAAAAAATACGTTCTCTGCACAGCCATTACAGGCCAGCCAATCATTTTATTGCAGCTGAATGATATAATTGTCTGGCCTACCTGTGCGCACTAAGCCCGTGCACTCATTGCGAATGAAAATGTGTTTTGGGGGAGTGGCTTTGGAAGGAGTCCTGAAGAGAGGGGGTGAGAAATGTAGCTGTCTCTAGCTAGTTTCTCCAACGTTGCCTACCCCAGCTTTAATTTAATGCAACAACCCCTTCTCTGTCACATTTCTCTGATTTATGGGAACTTCATACCAATCCTGGTTCCTAATTCCCCCAGCAGATCTGACTGTTTTTTTAATCTGGCCAAATTTCCAAACATTACACCAAGATCAGCTACATGAGCCCCACCGGACTGCCTGTTTGGTACATGTCATTATGAGTAGCTAGCTCTAACAGTGCATGCCTGCACCTTTAGAGCATATTAATGTACATGCATTCACCTGAGGAGTACATCTGTTCTCAACATCCTGATATGTGGTGACATATCAGTTTCTTTTACAGTATATACTACTACTTACATACGTGTGTGTATTTGGTATCTAAATGTAATATTAACTCAATATCATGTTTGATAAGTGCAAGACAGTGCAGAACAAGAAAGCTTTTATATTTAACCCACCCTCTGTCACCTCAATGTGAATTTTATGTGACCTTTCTACTTCCTTTCGATGAGAGAAACCAGCTAATCAGACAATAAACATCAAACAACTGTGGAAATAACACTGTCCACAAGGACAGAAATTAGCCTACAGTCAGACAACAGAGGGGTATCTTTCTTTGATTGTTCTCCACAGACACTTCCTTCCCTGCATGCATCCATCCTTTGCACTTGAGCTGTACATAATCAATCGCTTGATTGCACTACACAATATAAGGCTCACTGCATTGTTAATGTACTTTTGACCTTATCGCAGGATGTGACCCAGAGCTCCTGCACTGTCTGTGCATGGACATACATATGTGTTTTGTTTTATCCACAGTGGAAATGCAAACACACCTGGAGTACCAGAGCTGACAGCTACACTTTCACACATATTATAAAATACCAGGGATATAGTAGCTCCATTTGTGGTCAGCACACAAATTCTGTTGACACTTGCACACAACCCTAATTTGACCACAGAAATACACACAAGAACTGTTTGTGTATGTGGGCATGCAGGGTTGAGTGTGTGTGTGTGTGTGTGTGTGTGTGTGTGTGTGTGTATGTGTGTGTGTGTATGTGTGTGTGTGTGTGTGTGGTTAGCTCCCATATGTGTGACCAGCTCTCGTGGGAATAACTGAGTTTGCTTTTCAGACTGAGGTGTCAGCATCCAAACATATGCGCTAATAGATTGAAGAAAGGAGTGATGGATGGAAAAGAGATAGAAATGGATGGTTGGGGGGATGGAGAAGTGAGAAGAGAGAGAAATACCATTACAACAGTTACATGCGATGGCTGATAAGATTTTAAAGAAACTTGTGGGGGAATTACACAACTCACTTTTACATTATGGTGTAATCTCAACTGAATAACACAGATTGACCCAACCTCAGAGGTTCCAATGGGGCTCAGCAACATGGCCAAAAATGTTATCACAATAAAAAACTGTCTCATTCTATTCGAAGTTAAAAGGTTGACATTTGCTATTTGAGTGAAAGTTGAAGAAATCAGATGATTAATGGTGGTTTTAAACTATTCTTTATGGGCAGAACATGACAAACACTCAATGTCTAACAAATCTGAGGTAGAACATTCAAAATAATTATGATAAAATCTTTTTTCAACAAATATGCAAGATTAAAATTAATTAAAATCTTTTTTTCCCGTCCCTTTCCTCAACAAAATAAATATCTAAATAGAAAAATGAAGTGCTTATTTGTTTGTGATTCTAATTAATTATATCAAACATTTATTGAACATTTATTGTATGCTTGTTATATTGAGGAAAATGATGTTGTGATTATTTTTATCATTATTGATTTATTGTCTAGCCCTAGGTTCCAATCACAAAATAAGATCACGTGAGAGAGAAAAGATCACATAGTTTAGTTTTAGTTTGTTATTAAGAATTAAGTGAAGATATTTTATGCCACGGAGAGGTTCAGAACTGGTTTCCACTTTTCTTTGGGCTGTTCAAAACGTTTGAACAAATGTTGCTTTACTCGCCTGGATAAGGCATTTTTTGCTTTGATTTATCTTTAAAGGGAAATAAAAAGTAGAGTTGGGTATCATTCAAAAATATCCAGTTCCACCACCACAACGGTTTATGGAGTTTCTCCATAAATACATAAACACTGAACTTTCCATTTCTGGTTTTCACTTATCGGACCAAGCATTTAGTGCCAACTTGGTACTTGACAGTGTGTGATAATTAGTGTTACATGGAAACCCTCAATATTCAAAAAGATTTTTAGATCTGATACATGGGTCCTAGCTTCTTGGTGTCTATGTATTTAATGCCCTTAGATTACATGTCTTTCCCACACAATGAAGCAGAAGCTGTGCAGGGTGAGTATAATATGGAAGGCAAAGACAGCATAGCACATCATATATCAGCTAGATGAGATTGTGATAACTGAATGATCGCCTCTCAATCATTGGCCTTCTTTGTCTTAATAAAGCTGGGACTCAGGTGGTGTGTATGTGAATATAATTTACAGCCAATGCACAGTGGCTGAGATATGATTTAAAGGTGTATTATCCTTGAAGCTCAGAGGCAATTGGATCAACTTATCCTATGAGTGATGTTTACATGGAAGTCTGCAGAAACAACTGAATATCATTTCATATCCAGAGAGATTTTAACTCTAGGTTTTAAATTTCTTTAACCAAGCTAAAGCCTAAGGAAAAGTATATATTCTAGATTAGATGACTACTTAAACCACAGCTTTTAGTACCTCTAGTACCTATGACTTAACTGAACATTTACTGAATCAAACTGAACCTTATGGCTGTGTTGCACATAACAGGTTGATTCTGTAAGTTTGTGCGTCTTATCTTTGTGCAGTCGCAGAGATACTGAAAAATGACCTATAAATGTGTGCCCCACAACAAATAAATAAATCCATACAGACAGTGTTGGTAGGATTTAAAATCAGCACAATCCAGGTCTTTTCTGCAGTAACAATAGTAAATAGCAGTAGTTGTACTGTAGTAGTTTTGTCTGTATAGTGTAACAAACAAGCATATTTGTTCTTCCTACCTTAACATAGTCCACCGTGGCATCCAGGCCGGCAGCAGTCTCCCTGGGGAACACAGACAAAGACAAGGTCCTGTTTAGTGAACACATGTTGCTACGGGACCCAAAGTGCACGATGTTGATCTTCGGTTCCTCCCTATTACAAATAAACTGCTGAGCTGGTTGTGTTAAGTCCAGGTGAGTCTCTGATTGATGCTGATGCTGTTTCTTTACAGATTCAAACACTGCTCAGCCCTTTTAGGAGATAATATAGTTCTGTGGAGGAGTGGCACTTTTTTTGAAGGTCCAAATGTCACTGCTCCAAACAAGCATCCATATTAGCCATATGCTATGCAGCAAGAAGGTACAGCTGCACTGTAAAGCTGGTTATCTGTAATGGTAATGGTGTCCCAAGTGAGTTCCTCTGAAAGAAAAAAATTCAGATGAAACCAAACCTCACACTGAACTGCTTTAAATATGTCTCTCTCTCTCTCTCACACACACACACACTCTCTCTTTCTCTCAGTCAGTGGTAAACATGTTCTCACTCAATGCCTGCCTGACTTGGCCTCCCTCCCTCACTCTCTCTCTCCTCCCCCACCATAACACACATCGCAGCCACACGCCTACCTTCTGAGTCCACTGACAAATTCACAAAAAGGTTAGAGCACACACATCCAAACAGCAGCATTTTTCTTTCATTTCTCTTTTAGCATTTTCTTTGATTGCTTCCTTCATCAAAAAACAGTTTACAACCACATCATACAGCAGTTTGCCATTTTCAATCTATTTCCGTAGCTGCAGGATTTTATTATGACACTGTTGTTTAAAGGTCAGAATACACAGATAAAATTTTCAGGTATTGTATTTTGGCAGTTTTTGGGTTTTGGCCAGTGGTGTAAGGTCCTCATATGTATAATATCACATTATTCCCATTGCTCTCTATCCTTGCCTTGAATATTGAACACATATACAGTACTTGAGTATATTAATGTAGCTCAGAGTCTCTCTCTAGAGGAGGCTTATAGCCAGGGGCTCAGTGAAAGAGGTAATTATCTCAAATCCCAGACTACGTTATCAAGGTTGGTAGTTCAAATCCCTTAAGCCTACACTGGTGTTCCCACGGGAATATTAGCACAGTCCATTACTTATCAAACCAAATATGTTTAGCTCTAAGCCCTCTCAGTTTAATATGGCCTCAAATAATGAGTGGGATTTAGTTATGTAACTAAACAGAAGCCTCCATTCACAACAATGTATAGTCATTATTCATTGAAGGTGGAGTGCTCAGGCCTCTCCATCACCCTCAGGATCTACTGCAGATTTCACCTGGCAGAGCCTTGGAAGCTCAGTATATGACAACCAATCCTGTTTCAGGTCTACAGATCCTTAATCCAACATATCCTGACCTCCCCCTCAGCGTATCAACACAAATCTATATTGAGTTGTCCTTACAACAGAGAGCACATCAGTTGTTGTTGTTGGCTAAATAATTGTGTCTGATGGTGCAAGAAACACTGCAAAAAATGCTGATCATCAAGTTGTTGTTCAAGATGCTTTCTTTGCTTTACTACTGTATTAACTTCTGAGAGTTTTTTTCAACTATAGAACGTTTATAGTTTCAGTTTTTCTAGTTTTTCCAAGCAGATACATTACATTAAACTATTTTTTTTATTCTTTAAGTTAAGTGGGTATCTGCTAATGTACTTGAAAATGCAATGTGATCTATTATTAGAGCTGCAACTAACAATTATTTTCATTATCTATTCATCTGTCCATTTTTTTGATTAATCACATCTTCTGTAAAATATTTAAATCACAATTTCCCAAACCCAGTAGTTGTCCTAAAAATGTCTTGTTTTGCGCCTTATTCTGTCTTGTTTCAAGATCACAACACTTGTTTCCAATATAGTTTCACGCAACTCGTATAATTTCTGTTGTAAATGCATCATGGTTAAATGGCATGCATTTGAGAAGCTACATGAAAGGATAAGGCACTCTGATTAAAACAAAATACCATTGATTGATGACTGAAAATAGAGCTAATTTGCCTTATAGTAATCAATATCAGGTGGTCATAATTTACACTCCGAGGATGACAGAAGACATTTCATTACATTTCTGAGGCCTCAACTAAAATCTGACATTCAGTTTGACATTGACAACTTACTGTATTCATATTGTGTTGTCTCGTTGGAAGTCAGTCCGCAGTCCGTTTGGGGCAAATCAAGCTTGACCGTCGATTGGCCCCAAACGTTCAAGACACCAACCACTTGCCCCTCATAACCCTGCCCTGGCTCTCTAGTCTGATGGTTGTGATGAGAATTACCACATACCAGACAACACCCATATAAACCCTCCTGGAGTTGAATGTGCTACAACTGAGGGAAATTCCCTTTTCTACTCAGGGAGGTCAAAGGTCAGTCTCACAAACAGAGTAGCAGCCCCAGAGCTGATATAAAATCAGTGTCTAAAACCCAGGTCGTCAGGTGAAGGATGGTCTCTCCACCCTTCATTTTTCTTCCCCTGACAACATTTAGTAAGCTTGATTACAGCACTAAAATAACTGAAACAAAGTATGGTGAGAGTGAGATGGCCAGGCATTCCAGACTACACATGCTGACCACAGCTAACGTCTGCCCATATTGCTGAAACAGCATCAGAAGCTGGATTATTCTGCGTCTACAACCACAAAACTGACCTACAACACAGACAGATTCAGAGCAGTAAAGACATAAAGAGTGGAAGTGAGTCAGATGAAAAGAATAACAAGAGTTGGGAGGACAGAAGCAGGCAGCACTCGCCACAATCTTTTTCTGGCTACTGTTGTTCTTTGCGCTTCACCACACAATACTCAGCATGACCACAACTGGCTTCAGTGAGGGACTACACCATATTTGTGTGTGGGAGAGAGTAAGAGAGAGTGACAGAGACAGTGGGAGCAATGGAAACAGTTAAAGGGCAATATGCAGGGTCTGCTGAAAGCCTACAGAGGTCACTGTGTTTTCATAAAAAGAACAGACTCATTGCAGAGTTAGTATTTGCTGTTAATGGCTGTGTTTCCAATCCCCACTGCTATATGCTCTACACTTATCTTCAGAGTTTACTGTTTCTGATGTTAGTATGCAACAAATTAAATAAAAACAAAAAAATCATGTACAGTACTAAAAGGGATATTATATAAGGCATGCTCTGAAGGATATCAATCAGTCTGTGATTTTGGAAAGCTACTGCTGATTTAAAATAAGTATTTTAGTGTTTTGTATACTAACTGTAAATACTTTATACTATGAAAATTATTATATAGTACATACTGTAAAGGTCTACAGTTAATATGCAGTTTGAAACTGGGATACAGCCCAGGTGTTCCTGTAGTTTCTCTGTTTTCTATTTGCATTGCACTGCGGGACAATAGTGTCCAACAACAGCACTCTAACATCTAGTGAATTTAGTATGCATGACATATTTAAATGACTGACAAGTTAACATAAGCTTATTTATGTTGATGAAAGGAAAAGTTCCATGTGTCAGTCTGTCACTGTCCATCTCTTCTCAACCTCCTCTCATTTATCTCTCCCCCCCCCCTCCTCCCCTGGTGGTCTGCTGTGCTGCCCATAGATGTAAACAAAAAGACAAACTGACCAATCAGAAGATAGTGCAACATAAGGTCAAGGGTCATAGGTCAGCTGACAGCATGAGCAATGGAAAGTCAAGATCGACTGGCCAGTGGTTACATTCCTTAGAGATATACACTCCTTCATCTTTTTATAGAAAACTGAACTGTGTGGAGTTTCAAAAAAACAGTGAGCTGGGAAGAACGTTTGGTTGCTTTAACATTTATACACAGCTCAAAAAAATAAAGGGAACACTTAAACAACACAATGTAACTCCAAGTCAGTCACACTCTGTGAAATCAAACTGTCCACTTAGGAAGCAAAACTGATTGACAATCAATTTCACATGCTGTTGTGCAAATGGAAAAGACAACAGGTGGAAATTAATTGCAATGCCTTGTGCAGACTACATGACTTTCAGCGTTGGCCGATGGCTGTGCTGTTCAGACTACACAACTTGCCGTCTTGAGAGGTGAGTTTTGAAGTCGCTGTGGCAGGGGGGTCACACACTACATGAACTGACACCAACTCTGTCACCCAATGCTGGTCTCCAAATCCATGTTTTGTCAAGAAAACACGTGTGAAATGTGAAACGGGAAATGACGCGAACCTACACATAAAACAGCTGTTGTTTGTTATTATAAAGATACCAATTATAAAGACAAAAAATATGGATGAAAGAATGGATTAGCACATGCATGTAGCAGGCATCATCTGAGCTACAGAGAGAGCTGGAGGTGAGTAAAAAGTGTTTTGTGGTGAAAAAGTAGCTACCTGCTCCACCAGCTGCTTGCTCTCATTGGCTGGATGTGGATGTTGAGTCGGCTGACTCCTCCAGATATGGCATGCTAGATATCTGGCAGACGTCGGCAATGTGGTAGTGATCTGTCAGGGAGCCGTTATGGTGCGTAGTTGTGTAGTTCACACATAAAAGTCGTGTAGTGTGAACTAGGCGTAAGTGAAACACGTAAAGCCAACAAATAAATCAAATAACTATGGACACAGTGATGGGGCTGTGCGATACATACACATACATTTTAATCATATCGCACAGCCAAAAGAGAGAGTTGTGTGTAAAATATCTCTCATGCCTGCTGCTACTCACGTTTAAGATTCTCCTTTGTAGTTGTGTGGCCATTAGTAGGTAAATTCAATTATTGCCAAGTGATGTTCTTTGATCTTCATATAGCTTGAAGTAAGGCTAACATTAGCTCATTACAAAGAACACCACCAACCTGCCAAAAATTACTCAGCTACAGAAGGATGTCTCTTTTTTTGCTGATGCATTTTGATGCCATTTACAAGTCACTACGTCTCATTTAGGGAACTGAAACTCTCATCTTGTTTTGCTGACATTTCCAAAGTAAAAAGTAGAAGGACACAATACCCATAAACACTTAGTGAAAGTATGATGCTGTTCATTATTTAGCCACCTGTATGGGATGAAGTTGACCTGGACAAATTGCCCTGCTGTATGTCAGCAGTATATGAAATGTATCCAGCAAGGAGGCAGAAAGATAGCGAGAGTAGACAAAGAGTTCACAGTGATCTGTGATCTGTCCTGCCACACCCTGACCTACAAAAGGTAACCCAACTGCTGGGGGCTGCACGCACGCACCCACAGACACACACACACACACACACACACACACACACACACAAAGCTGGCTACATCAGATACTGTGTTGTAACTCTACACTAGAGATAGAAAGATGGGAGGACACGATGAGGGATGAGGTGTGTGTGTGTGTGTGTGTGTGTGTGTGTGTGTGTGTGTGTGTGTGTGTGTGTGTGTGTGTGTGTGTGTGTGTGTGTGTGTGTGTGTGTGTGTGTGTGTGTGTGTGTGTGTGTGTGCTCCCTCTGAAGTTGAGCTAACTGCTACACCCCCTCAGGGCTCTTTACGGACTCACCTTTCTCCATCCAATTCCAAACTCTCTTTAGGAGTCATTGCTCTGAAGAGGAACAGTTTGAATAAATAAAGTTTTTCCTCCAGAGCATGGCAAGTCTCAAGTGATCAAAAGTGCCAAAATAATCCTCAGACTAAAAGGTTATCCCTTTAAAGAAATACATCACCATAAATCTATCTTTGAGCCTTCACAAAGGACAGCAGCACGGATTCACAGCAGTTACAGTGGATTCCAATGGTGACCCAGAGTCTCAACAACAACAAAAACCTGACAGAACATTTCAAAAGTCAATAGAAACTACTCAAACACCCAATTCTGATGTATTGTCTGTTTTGTTTTGTTTTTTCACCATTTGCTGTGAGTCTAGGTGACTGAAATCCATACTAACTGCTGGATTAGTGAACTGCTCAAAAAAATAAAGGGAACACTAAAATAACACATCCTAGATCTGAATGAATGAAATAATCTCATTAAATACTCCTTTCTTTATATAGTTGAATGTGCTGACAACAAAATCACATAAAAATTATCAATGGAAATCAATTTTATCAACCCATGGTAGTCTGGATTTGGAGTCACACTCAAAATCAAAGTGGAAAACCACACTACTGATCCAACTTTGATGTAATGTCCTTAAAACAAGTCAAAATGGGGCTCAGTAGTGTGTGTGGCCTCCACGTGCCTGTATGACCTCCCTACAACGCCTGGGCATGCTCCTGATGAGGTGGCGGATGGTCTCCTGAGGGATCTCCTCCCAGACCTGGACTAAAGCATCTACCAACTCCTGGACAGTCTGTGGTGCAACGTGGCGTTGGTGGATGGAGCGAGACATGATGTCCCAGATGTGCTCAATAGGACTCAGGTCGGGGGAACGGGTGGGCCAGTCCATAGCATCAATGCCTACCTCTTGCAGGAACTGCTGACACACTCCAGCCACATGAGGTCTAGCATTGTCTTGCATTAGGAGGAACCCAGGGCCAACCGCACCAGCATATGGTCTCACAAGGGGTCTGAGGATCTCATCTCGGTACCTAATGGCAGTCAGGCTACCTCTGGCGAGCACATGGAGGGCTGTGCGGCCCCACAAAGAAATGTCACCCCACACCATTAGTGACCCACCGCCAAACCGGTCACGCTGGAGGATGTTGCAGGCAGCAGAACGTTCTCCACGGCGTCTCCAGACTCTGTCACGTCTGTCACATGTGCTCAGTGTGAACCTGCTTTCATCTGTGAAGAGCACAGGGCGCCAGTGATGAATTTGCCAATCTTGGTGTTCTCTGGCAAATGCCAAACGTCCTGCACGGTGTTGGGCTTTAAGCACAACCCCCACCTGTGGACGTCAGGCCCTCATACCGCCCTCATGGAGTCTGTTTCTGACTGTTTGAGCAGACACATGCACATTTGTGGCCTGCTGGAGGTCATTTTGCAGGGCTCTGGCAGTGCTCCTCCTGCTCCTCTTTGCACAAAGGCAGAGGTAGCGGTCCTGCTGCTGGGTTGTTGCCCTCCTACGGCCTCCTCCACGTCTCCTGATGTACTGGCCCGTCTCCTGGCAGCGCCTCCATGCTCTAGACACTACGCTGACAGACACAGCAAACCTTCTTGCCACAGCTCGCATTGATGTGCCATCCTGGATGAGCTGCACTATCTGAGCCACTTGTGTGGGTTGTAGACTCCGTCTCATGCTACCACTAGAGTGAAAGCACCGCCAGCATTCAAAAGTGACCAAAACATCAGCCAGGAAGCATAGGAACTGAGAAGTGGTCTGTGGTCACCACCTGCAGAACCACTCCTTGAAGGGGGTGTCTTGCTAATTGCCTATAATTTCCACCTGCAGCATGTGAAATTGATTGTCAATCAGTGTTGCTTCCTAAGTGGACAGTTTGATTTCACAGGAGTGTGATTGACTTGGAGTTACATTGTGTTGTTTAAGTGTTCCCTTTATTTTTTTGAGCTAGCTAGATAGCTAGATAGCTACATAGCTAGATAATAATGTGTGTATGTTTGTACATGTGTTTACCTGTAACCATGAAAGTCATCAGTAATATTTTGGACCAGTGGAGAGGTCATGGGTTGATGATGTCCAGGAGTCAGTGATGTGTTCCTGCAAAGTATCGGCTGTGCATGATTGGCTCTGGGATCCCAATTGCAGTTTCCATGGGCGAGGTTGGCCCCTCCTCTCTTGCGTCGAGGCAGAGTTCCGTGAATGCAGATTGGCTGGTAGGCAGCAGCGGGCAGCTCTGACAGGCTGCTGCCTGGAGGGAGACTGGAGAAGGGCAGGGAAGAGAAGGTTTGACACTTTGACAGCATCACATTTATACTCTGTATCGACTTGTTCCCACACATCTTGTGTATTATCTTACAGATATTGTCTCTAATTCAGACTGACATATTTGCTATTTCTGGAAAGTTTTGGGTTCCCGTGGAGTTTAAATTATGGTTTGTGGATCTGAACAAGGTATGTCCACACCATATATAGTGACCCACCTATTGTTGAAGCAGCACCAAAGAACAGAGAAGAAGTAGATGATTATGTTTGACTTTTCTTGGGAACCAAATTGTTTTGTGATCACCTGCCTATTAATCCAACAAACTGTACTACTATTTGGTTAAACTGTTTGTTTGTTCCCCCTTTAAACCTTAAATGGAAACAAAAGGACTTGTAAAAGGACTTGAGAAAAATTCCAGCATACAGTATTTAAGATTGTTTAACTCATTATTTCAGTCAGACCCACAATTCTGCAAAGGACTCTTTGGAAACCAGGTTTTATTGTCCCATGAGCCACTTCTGGTCACCAAACTCACCCAGGTCTGGAGCTGAGGAGGTCCATGGAGGAGGCGAGAGAGGCCTGGAGCCTCCTGGAGGAGCAGGTGGGGACACCGAGGGAGGTGGAGGGGACTCCGGGGTGTGCAGTGCCCCCTCCCACGGTGTGGTGTGCATGGAGGGACCTAGGCAGACTGGCAAAACGCCCCTCTGCCATCATCCTCAACTCTGGAAAGAAACAAAGACAGGAATTCAAAAAAAAATTCAACTTTGGGTGTCAGTTTTTCCACAGACAAATTACTGTACATACATAGATTTGTAATAGCATTATTAAGATGTGAAATAGTAAATTAACCTCAAAGGGGGGATTCCTCCAGGTGTCCTATAGTCTAGCATGCTTACAATAACCAGGAGGACACAGTTATTTAACAATGGTAACACAAGACAGAAGGGTGAGGTATTGTACTCACTGTAATACATTCCTTTAAAGACATATGACCTAAAACACACACACTCATGTACAATACTCACTGAGATGAAATATCATGATACATGATACACATATAAAAAGAGCCAGTACAGCTGGTGTCTGACATATCGTTTCATATTATCATGCCCACAAAATGCACATTAACACATTGCCCGGAGGTAAAAAATGAAAAAAGCAAAACTTGTTATTACATAACTTTATACTGGCAGTTTCAGCTAAGTGATGTTATTCTGATAATGGCTGATATAGTGATATTCCTTTTTTTAAATCATATGTATGGTAACACACACTCACACAGAACATCTGCCAATATAATGCATGTGCTGTCCGGCATATGGACATAACTAATCTGGTTAACCAAAGGAGGACAATGCTGCCAAAAGTGTGAGTGATGTCAAATTGTATTCAGGTACAATATGTGGGCTTGAAATATAATTGTGAAACCTAATTCTAAATCTACTGAATAAACAGTGTACCACCTGGTTGAATGAAGAAATGCTATTGAATAAAAACAGGTAACACCACATACAAAACCTATTCTTCTTTGTTTCCGAAAAATTTAAATCGAAATAGTCCTGGTTAACAAAAGAAACTGCTCCGAATTAAATACTGCAGTGAGATGTTTTGAAAGCTTACTACAGATAAGTGCATGTTACTGAATGTGATAGGTATAAGACAATCAATCAGTTAGATCCAAGTTAAGCTTCAAGCTCAAAATGTTGCAGTTAAACGAAAGACACCTGAACCTAACAGAACCACCAGTAGTATTTTTTTTAAAGAATATTTTGATAGTTTTACTGCTAGTTTTTGCATGGCGCTGGGCTCAAAGCCAATCCGAATTTTAAGACACACAGGGTTTAGTTTAGCCATTCCTATTGGTGGACGTGAGAAGAGAACAGAGGTCTTACCATGTGCATTAGTTAGGGTGGTATTTTTATCAACAAATTATGAATGTCATACAATTAGAAAATGCTTAAAAAGGTTTTATATTCCTTCCTCTCTTTATATTAAGTGCAGGCCTAAAAAGAAGCAACACTGTAAAACACGTTTTTTGGCTGGTGGTTTAGATGTTTCCTAAGACAAGCAGATATAAATAAACAGAGATGAACATGACAGATAGGTTGGCAGTGAAGGAAAACACCAGACAGGTTCTTGATAAATTCCCTTGCTGTGTGATGATGACCGGCACGCTATCGTCTGCTATGAATCACTCACCATGCAGCAGTTAGTCATACTGTACAAACTAAAATACCATAGCTGACGGATATGTTGGCAGACTGGATGTTGTGAGATTCCACAAAACCTCCCTATTTCTAATCAAACTTGAGAATCTAACTGGAACAACTATGCTGGTGTTTTTGTCTCTATTTGGACAACTTGATAATGATCAGAGAAAGACGGCTGCAGAGAAAACTGTGGGGCCTGGCACTGTAATATTCTTGCCAGATGCAGTCAGCCCTGACCAAGACACACCGTTGGAATTTATAAATTTGTTTCACGATGTTCTTAGTCTATAGAAGTGAAAGTGACATTGAGTGTAAATAAATTTCATTAGTTGAAGTTACATTTCATTACTCAAACATTATCAGCGTTTCTTAATAGCAGGGTAAACAAGAATTGAACTAAAGAAAAGACCAAACCAGGGTTTCCATTATGTACATTTTGAAAAATTATTGTAGCCACTGCTTTAGAATTTTATAAAATGTCATGAAGGCTTTTAGTTTGAAATGACGAATAAGAAAACTAATGTTGTTTAGGGATGGGCACTGAAACACGGTATTAAATGGGCCTGGGACTGGACTATTATCAGGCTGCGGCTTCTGCCTGCTCTCTGTTGGCTCCTACATACACACACGCACACACAAACAGCAGCCAGTCGCAGCGGAGACAGTAAAGTGACGGTAACTCCAAAGAACTTGAATTGACCCTAGTTACGCTCGTTACTATAAGTATGTGCAATAAAACCTTTGCAAGTAAAAAAGCCAATTCTTTACCAATACACCTGTTCAACAAGCATTAATATATAGAAAGCGTAACTTTAATCTGCTGTCCACAGTCTCTCGTCCTCTATGTATTAAACAAGCACGTTAGCTTGGCAATTAGCAAAATATTACAAACAAGCTAAACTGAAAGCTGTCTGTCGTCTGAGTCAGTTAACTGTTAGTTTAGTTTGTCACATAGCTTAAAATTCACTGCTGAACAAAATCCTAGAAGAAACAGTGCAAACTGAACTGACTTGACTGTAATTCTGCACAGAAAATTATTTTGCAGAAAAAGGCACAGTCACACAGCTTTTACTATCCACAATGAACAATACATATAGCCTTTAAAGGAATATGCTGACATTTTAGTTAGCGGAGAAGATCAATTTATCTAAGTAGATAGATTGTCCAGGACCTGTTTAGCCTAGCTTACCACAAAGACTGGGACCAAAGTGAATTATATAAGTATTAAATCAAATCAATTAACTGCATAGTTTCACCAAAATTCCACTGTATGGCATTTTTTCACAAAAAATGTTGAGCGGTCTTCACAAAGGCTGACTGGCTGCAGAAATTGAAAATGGAAACATAAATATATAAGTTCAACTGCAAAAACACACTGTTCATGTGATTTGAGAGTGATTTGTTCTTTCTCTAATAAACAATGTTTGTCCGAATACCGACACAGACAGCATAGGCCTACTAGCAAATCAAGAGCAAAGTTTTACTTTGGACTTTTGATAAATTACTTACAGATTATTAATTAGCTACAGCTGCCCGTAATGTTTCATTTCAACTGGCAAAAGCAAAAACTACTGTAACTCAACGTTTTATACACTGCACTTTTTTGTTTATAAAAATATCAAGGAGAAATAAAATATTTGTTAAGAGGTACATAAGCCAAGGAGCTTAGTGACTATGGGAAACATGGAATCAATTATATAAAATTGGAACTAAACCCAATTTTAGCAGGGGGTTACTGAGTCACTAGCTTGTGATGATGAATGTCAATAAAAATGCAAATACAGGTTTAGGGGAAGGAACAGCTGGCCAGTTCAGCATGACAAGTAAAGTTTACACACACACACACACACACACACACACACACACACACTGTAAAACTCCTGCTAAGGCATGCTGGGTCAGAGTGTGGATTCCTCTAACGGCCAGAACGGCTACAGGAGGAGGACCTATTATAAGACCCTCAGGGAGGGTCAGCTGTGTGTTTATGTATATTTGTGTGTGTGTGTGTGTGTGTGTGTGTGTGTGTGCCTGTGTGTGTGTGTGGCCCTGACCATCTGCCAGACACACACCCTCCCCTACAGAGGAGAAAGGAAAGACTCTCACTGAGTGAAGACACAGACACACAGCACTTATGCACATGAATACTGTCAATTAATCTAATGAATAAATTATTCATGCTAAGAGCTACAGGCAGTCATTTCAACATGGAGCAAAATCTCACTCACTCTCCTTTTCCCCAACTCTTTCTCCTGTAACATCTCTTCTCTCCATCTACTACTTAAACACTATTTATTTCACATGTCTTTTCTCTCCTTTTGACCATCCATACTCATCCATCTTTTCCTTTCTATGTCAATCTGTTACCCCACAGACATCCCCCCTCCCTCCTTCTGTCTGTCCACCATGATGTCAGCTTCTTTTGCTCAATCACTTTGTCAACTTCTCTCAGTCCTTTGTCCTTCCACCTCTTTTTTCTTTCTCTCTCCCTGCCTCATCCTCTCCTCCCTACAGCTGTTCAGCCACCGGCTACATCGCCATGCATCTCATACACCCACCCACACAGAACTCCTTTATTTTCTATATTAGGACATTAACACATGCCATCATAATTTACCAAGGAATAAAAAAGAAGCTATTTTAAACGTTCATCCATAATACATTTAGTCACTTTAAAGCATTTTTTCTACAGTGAGTCCACTGGTAGCCTGGTGTGAAGCATGAGTATTGTTGCTTTAACAGTTACATGCAATTTACTATAACCTTCCTTCAGTGATGATTTAAAATTTCAGTTGAACTCCTGACTGGACCATGTTTGAGATGTACTGATATACTTAGAGAAACAGAAGGAGTTATTCTGGTGTCCAGGGTTGCGGAAGCAAAAGTCACGCTTCTTTTTCTATAAAGTGCACATTAAATGTTTTTATTTTCAACATTTTGATGGGCGTGATACTCTCCCATCTGAAGATGAGCAACAAAATATCAGGGTCTTCAAAGGATCAAGTTAAAATGTAAAAAGTCCGTGACCATAAAACTCAAGAAAAAGACAGAGCCAACTTAAAATTTGGTTGCCTGTACCACTAATAGTGCGCTGAAGCTTTAGATCTAACAAAACACTCAAATGTTTAAGCCTTTAACTTTTAGATTCTGTGTCACTTTTAGATGAATTCACCAACTGCAATAAAGAAGCATTCTGAATTTGCTATAGGACTGATTTTCACCCCTGACTGGCTTCTTCTCCACAGCAAGAGCAACTGACACTAACAGGTATCACAGTATTTAGATCCAAACTGAAGGAAACAGAGTCCTCAGAGCACAAACTAGTTATACTCCTACATTATTCCACAGACTCCGCGGTTTCTATGTTGAGGGAGACAGACGATAACCTGATAATCAGACTGAACTGACATTGAGTCTGGGCTGGATTGTTTCTTGCCCTTACTGACTGGCGCTGCACCAATGTCGACACAGAAGATGCGGTAGCTAGGAACCGTTCGTGACATAATTTTGCTAGC